ATTCCAACTTGCTGAAAAATCCGTGAAATCTGTAAAATGTTACCCCGGGCGACTTGGCTACATTGAAGAAACGCCTCGAGTTTAAAATCAGCAAAAAGTTGAAATCAAAATCTCTGCAAAATGTTTCTAAAAACCAATTTCTTGTATGTTCAGGACGCTTCTTCTATGTCAGTGAATGGCTCAACTTCATTGGACTCCAAGACTACATCTCCAACTTTGTCGCAGCTGGCTACAAGCACATGACAAAGCTGACTGAAATTGATTGGGACACTGCGAAGCTAATGGTACAACTCGCTCCTCTGTTCCTGGAACTAAACTTAAGTTTTTTCCAGCAACTCGGCATCACCCGCCCCGGACACATTGCTCGTATCCTGCATTCCTTCAAGAAAGCGGAGGATGAGAAGCGACAAGAGTATAACAATCGTCTGCAGACGATGAAGCCTCTCATGTCGCCACCACCACCACTTCCTCCAAGAACTTCGAGACAGTGAGATTTCATAGAATTTTTAGAGTAACACCTATTTGTTGCAGGCAAGCGTGTGCCGAGTGCCCGCAGGGTGATTTCGACAAGATCAAGAACAAGCTGCTCCAAGGAAACGTTGTCTATCGTGCTCACCATCTTGGCGTTCAGGAGATTGGAGAGACGGATTGTTCTGATGAGGCGCACGTTGCTATGACAGCTATCAAAGAGTCGATTATTGATTGGGAGACGATTCCTCGTGTCACGTTGGACTTGACTTGTAATGGTATTACCATTTTCGATGAGAAATTCAAAGTGAGTTCTAGAAAGTTTGAAAAATGGAGTGAGCGAGAAACCTGCAATAGGAGAGCCTCAACATTGTGAAGTTTGAGCTAATTTCTCTTCGGTCGTGTCGAAGATATCAAAAATCTGTCAACTGATAAATTGTTTACCATAATATCAGTGATGTTTTGTTCGTTGACACAGTTTTGATAGCTTGCATAGGAATGGAGAAAATTAAGATCAAAGTTGACAGTATGGGGACCCTTTTATTACAGGTTTTACGGTGAAAAAATGATAAAAATTTGTGCAAGGGTTTGGTGTCCCAGCAATATGTGCCTTGTTACTTGGGAAAGACCTTTCCTAAACATTTTCTAAAATTCTAGCTATATCTATTGTCTGAAAAACTCGTCCCAGTAAATGAGTCCAAAACAGTCGGTCGATCTGACGATTCCTCAAAAAAAAATCCAGCAACATAATATTTGTGGACTGATTATGAGAAAGCAAGGAACCAAATATTCTCACTTTCAGACTCTACTTGATGGATACGGTGTCTACACAATTCGAGTCGTCTGTCAGGACCGCAAAGATCTCAACTTCTTCTGTTTCGTCGCTCGTGATCCGGAGAATCGATTTTTCTGCCATACATTCTGTGTGCTCACTTCGGTAACACTTTCTCACAGAATAGATTTCTTTTAATTTTTTCTAATTCCAGAGCATTGCCACTGAGATCATTACAACTATTGGAATGATGTTCGAGCTCCGCAGCAGAATGGATAAGAACCTGCCAATCGACGGATCCATGGTTAGATGCAAACACAACGCCAGTACACTCCAAAGAAATTGAAAACCAAAACGGGATTTATCCTTGAAAACTCCAAAGCTGATGATTATTTATTCCTATCCCTCCCCAGTATCTTCCGATTTCTGTCATTTACGCCGAACTCGGTTTTTGCTACGTGTAACGGTACTTCTAGATAGTTCTTCTCCGTTTTTTATTCAATCACCAAATCCCCAATTTTTATACGAAATCCACCCGATGTTTTTTTTTGCTCCCGGAAATTCAACTGTCTCTATTTCCATTCTGATTTTGTCTGTTGGACACTAGCTCTCCAGTTTTCATTCCATTTTCATTTTTCTCTATTTTTCTGAAATTTTAACTAATCATCCTTCAGAGAAGTGAGATAATCAATAAACAGTATTACACAATGCTTTTGTTGAAGAATTGGGAAAATACGCGTCCGATAAACGCGCAAACGAGTCCGACAAATGTGTCAGCGGGTGTGTTGGCGCTTTCTGCGTTTTTTTGGGAGTTCGAACCAACTTTCACCTAGCTTTACATGAGCTTTGAAACCATCGGAAGCGCTAGTTTAATGAAATTTGCAAATTCAAACACTTCTAATGCGTTTTCAGAATCAATTCTCATATCTCTGTTGGCGAAATTACAAGAAAAATTATCAGAAATGAAATTGCTAATAATTTACTGAGAAATCAAGAATACATTTGCAATTGACATGGAAAGTCCGTCCTAAAATCAAGATTAAGATTCGGAAATGAAGGAAATCAGAAATAAAGGGAATTACAGAGATTTCAGGCGAGTCAAATACTGAGAACAGAAAAATAACATTGGACAGAAAATAAAATAAAATAGACCAAGAAAATTGAAATCGGTGGAGATGGATAGTAGACGTCCATATTTAGGTGACCAAGGCGAGGACATTTTCGACCATCATTTTGAGTCTCGTTGTCTCGAGTTTCTGGAAAAATATTTTAAGTTATAAAATGGAAATGAAAACTTAGAAAACCTTGTTTCCAGCAGTTCCTATGAATTCGGTGATCTTCTGCTGGACCTCTTCAAGTTGCTCATTCTTGTCCAAACTGTACACGGTGAAGCGGTACAATATGAGGAATTGTTCGTAAGGGTACGATTTCCATGGGCCCAGTGAATCCACCGGGACGATCTCAGCAGCATGACTTTGTCCGAGATAGAGGCTTGAGAGAAAAACGCATTTGAGAGCCTCCGTTGGGATATCCTCATGAGCATTGTGCAGTAAAGCCTCCTCAACTGTTTTCAAGAGGTTGGTGAGATGTGGATTGCACAGGGACCAGAGCAAATTGCGAAGAATTCTCAGTACTTCACCACTGCCGATGACGTCCATTGGTTCTGATCTGTAAAGTAAGGAAATTCGTAACATCATTCTTTGCAAGAAAAAACTCACGATGTTGATACGAATTTGATTCTCACAGGAGAAGTTGAATCGATTCCAGCCATATAGTTCTCCAATCTTTCTTGCTCAGTGACCTCTTTCTTAACCGAACTTGGACCTGGCATCGAATGATTCTTCTTGGGCACTGGTTCCCCCAAACTTTTCAGCTCGACGGGCTTTCTTTTCTGGCTTCGCCTTTAAACGTATACACTTTTATCACTCCAATGAATACAAAATCGTTACCTCTCCTCACTCTCTTCTCTTTTCGGAACAACCAGATTGCTGTTGCCGGAGACATCGTTATACCCATAGTAATCCTCCTCCGGTTCGGTATTCAAAGATTCTTCAAAAACGGACTTCTTTTTTCCGAGGTGCATGTGAGTGCCTATTAAGTCGAGGCTTCCGTCATAAGCACAGAACCCAATGATCCGGTTCTCTGAGTCGACATTGACAAAAGCAATGTTTTGAAGTCTGAAATGAGAGCATGTTGATCGATTTCTTTGAGAAAGTTTGTTCTCCTATTGAAGATTGAATATTCAGAAGATCCGAAGTCTATACTTTCAAATGGTCAGCTCACTCACTCTTTAAGAACACGATCCGGAAGTCTGGCTCCGGAGATAAAAAGCATCTTGATTCGAGTATTCAAATCGTATTCTGTCGCGCCGAAAATGTTCGACTTGACGACGTCATATCTGTAATTATTTACAATTTATCAATTTTCAAACAATTTACATTAGCCTCACCGTTTCCACATCATGCCCACCAGCGACTCTTCTCCGGTACATTCTTTGAAATCGTTCAAGAACGCAGTAACTGGAAGAGGAGCGTTGACAGTTGTCGACCTTTTAGCCAGATGCTCCATCATTCGGCTCTGAATACTCCGATCCTTTTCCGAGAACCCTCGAAAGCCAATATGGGTCTGAAAAATTGGGATTATGGATCTTCAGTAATGGAATGACTGGCCGGCTCGGATTGCCAGGCCAATTCATAAAGTTTCTAGCAAAAAACTGCTCACCTGCTTGCCGGTCAACTTGATTCCTCCCTTCTTTTCGTACTTTGTGATTCGATTGCGCTCATCTAGTTCCAAGATCACGTCTTCCTGCTCACGAATCCTGAAAATTCTTGTATTTCGCGTTTTTCTTTAATTGCTCTTCTACTTACTCATCAGCAAAGTATTCATCGACAGGAACACCTAATGCGAACAGCATTCTGATCCTAGTCTCCATATCAAACTCCTTCAACTCATGGATTCGGTTTTTGACGAGAGCGGCGCTGTAAAACATATCGGTTAAAAAAAAAGTCAAAGATTTAAAATCCACAACTCACCGATGCTGAAGATGAGGGATAGTCAGATGTGGACAATTATCCTTCATGAATTCCCTGCACAAGGTGCGCAATTTCAATGGCTCGACTGTCTGCACGGCGCGGTCTCGGAAAAACTTGATGAGATCGATGTGGAACTCATCGAATCCACACCAAGGAGTCGTGGAAGAAGCAGTAGCCATCTGAAAAATCGGTGAAATTGAATTTTTGAAAGAGAGAATATGAAGATAACGAAAGAGTGATAGAGAATGAGTCCCTATTCAGCCTTTTTCAAAAAGAAATTGTAAAGAATATTTTCTCTTTTTTTTCCAATTCGAAAAAAGTGTTTTTTTTTCTGAAATTTTATGATATTTTGATAACCTTGATCCTTATCCATTTTTTCTGCAATTCAGCATTGTCTCAGTTTTCTTCCAAATTAATCTCCTTTAAAAGTAATCTTGGAGTGCACAGCATTGGTTCAGCAAATGTGCTCCGCTGGCAAGGGAATCTTTTAAGTGAAGGTAGGAATCAGTAGAAACCACCTATTCACATAGATCGAAAGTTGCATGGTCAAAAACCTATAAACTCGTTTTTACAGTCTGCTTACGAAAACTTTGAAGTGCTGAAATTCCAGTTTCAGTACCAACAAATCCCATTTTCAGTGTAAAATCGGGAATTTTCAAATTTGATTTTCTCTACTCCTAGGAGGTTATAGGACTTGAAACTTATTGTATTATACTTGACATTGTGTGGAATTTCATATTTCAAACATTTTCTTCAAAAAGTTTGCAAAATCGGAAACTTGGGTCCACCGAAATCTAGAAAAATTTTGAAATTTTCCAAAACTTTTACATTTTTCAGAAAATGTTTGAAATATAAAATTCCACATAATTTCAAGTCTAAAACAAGATAATTCAAGTTTTAAAACCTCTTAGGAGTGAAGAAAATCGAATTTGAAATTTACCGATATTACACTGAAAATGTGATTTTTTGGTACCGAATCTGGAATTTCAGCATTTCAAAGTTCTCGTTAGCAGACTTTGAAAACGGATTTATAGGTTTTTGACCATGCCACTCCCGATCTATGTGAATAGGTGGTTTCTGCTGATTCCTACCTTCACTTAAAAGATTCCCTTGCCAGTGGAGCACATTTGCTGAACCAATGCTGTGCACTGTAAGATTACTTTTAAAGGAGATTAATTTTGAAGAAAACAGAAACAATGCTGAATTGCAGAAAAAATGGATAAGGATCAAGGTTATCAAAATATCATAAAATTTCAGGAAAAAAAACAATTTTTTCGAATTGGAAAAAAAGAGAAAATAATTGTGAATTGCGAAATAAGCGTATTCACAGGTACCAATAAACAGACTGATTGGAAGGAAAGAGGGACCAGAAGAAAAAAGATGACTCTCGTTGCGTGCCTGCCAACTAAGAAACACCGATCAATAGATAACTATGCGCGCGCACACACACACACGCCTCAAACCG